AGTGATTAAAGTAGAAAACTGATTATTTGTATTGTAGTTGGAAGTATATTTTTAATAAAGCAACCTTAGGAGTTTCATATATCTCCTTGACTTTAAAAAAATGACAAAATTGAGGGGCACCTTGCTGGCTCATTTGGTAGAATATGCAACCCTTGATCTCAAGGTCAAAGTGAGTCTAAGCCACATATTGAACATAGAGCTTACTTTAAAAAAACAAAACAAAACAAAACCTACAAAGTGAAATTCATTATATAGAAAGTTACTTTAAAAAAGTTACTTTTTTAGTCCATTCAACTTGACTTCTTTGCCATATTAAGAACATTTGTATATTTAATAAACTTTATATAAGGGTTTCTTTTTTTGGAACTTATTTTTAGAGGGAAAGCCAAAACTTAAGCACAAGATAATTTATGCAAACACATTTTATTACTTTGCTTCATTAAGTAATACTCTATGTGGTCTTCGGATCTGTTGTATGTCTCATTATCTGTATTTGTACTCTTTCCTGTAGTCTAGTGTTGTCTATTGAGAACCTTAAGGTTGTAGTTTATAATTAATATAAAGAGCTAAAGTTTCATAGAAAATTAATTTTATTAGTAAGGGTGAAGGGATATGGTGATTCAGCTTAGGGAACAGAATAAAAATGAATGATTTGATTACTTCAGACATACAAAGGGATAGGTAAAGAAGATACCAAGTTGTTTTTCTGTAACTTTGGAAGATAATATTAGAGAAAATGTTACTTGTTGATTTTGGTTGATCATGAGGAAGTATTTCTTGACCATGAAGGTGTACATAGGGATGTGTGCTGGGGGAAAGCATGGACTTTACCTGCATGGAGACTTTAGGTAGGAGAGTGGTCAACTTTTTGATGTGGATGGCTTAGATAACATCTTCAAGACAGAGACTAGGTCAGATCTCTACCACAGAGATTCCTCAGAGTTATTCTAGTCTGTTTTCAGGATACGATCATTAATTTGTGAGAACGCTTTAGCATTGCGCATTGTGTCTTTGATTAATAACATCTATCGAGAATCTTTGGAACTTTAGAGACATGGCGCAGAACTTAGTTGGCATTGGAGAGGCTCTTATTATTTTGATGTGGTTGTCTGAGATTTGTTTGCTCTTAAGTCAGTGTTTGATTCTTGCTTACCTGTTGAGACTTCTGATGCTCGATTGTTCAAGGAGAGGCTTCAGAAACACCAGTGCCAATCCTCTGAGGCCAGATAACCATTGGATTATCTGCCTTCCGTGAGTAGTAAGAACTGATGATTCCTTTTGAGAAGGCAAATAATGAGTTGGACACGGCATTCTAGCAGGTGTGTTTCTCTTTCTTCCCCCCATAGGCCTATCAGCAGTCTGATGGGGCAGAAGACAACAGAGATGGAAGGTGTTCCAAACTTGGCACAGGCCATCAATCTAAGGAGGTAAGCTCTGATTTTGAGCAGGCCGAGCAGGTGGCTCTTCCTGCCTTAATCATGTCTTCTTGCTCTTTGGAAAGATGGACAGAAAGAGCATTTAAAATGAGGCCGAATGATCTCTGTTAGCTATTAAAAGGGGAAAACTTTGGATTAGTCTTTTGATTCTTCTTTTTTCTTGCCTGCTCCCCCCTTTTCTTTTTAGATGCCCTGGTTTGTTTGATTTTTTTTTTTCTTCAGAATATTAGCAGTTTTTTTAAAGAATGGCAGATTTGTTTATTTGTTGTTTTGGGGTAGGGAAGGATGAGCAGAATCTTGTTTATTTCCAGTTAATCTCAGGTTATGGCTAGTTTGATGAATAAAATGATAAAGTTTTAGGATTTTTCATGAGATAATTTTTACATTTGGTTTTACATAGGAACTGTTAAACAAGAAATAATCTTTTACTACACCTCACATATAATGCAACAATAATAAGCATAGGTTAACTTTATGGTACTTGAGGCTTTCGTGGATGTCTGCCATCCTTGCCCAGTTGGGCCTTTCTTTCCTGCTTTTTCCACTTCCCTTTTCTTTTCCCTTTACTGATTAGTTAGTGGCATCTGGGACTTTGAAGAGATGGCTCTTCCCAGGATTTAAAAGTACTTCTCTATTAAACACTATTTTATCTCATGTGAGTTAGGCCTTGAGAAAGTGGGATTCCATTGACTGTGTTGTGCTAAGTATTTTAAGTATTTTCAGAAAAGTGAGAGGTTTTGAATTTGTGTTACATCATCTTGGTGCTTAACTTATATACCTAAAAAGATAGATACTGATATGTTGAATCACAGTAGAGGTAAAGAAAACATGAAATATAATCATAGATAGTTTCTATCAAGGTACTTGCTGGAAGCTTTATATTGGGAGAGAATCATTGCCAGAAAAGTATTCAGAGAATCATCAAGAATAACAAATTCACAAACTGTTTAAAATCAGCACGGGGTAACATGTCTTCGATGATTCAGAATGCCTTTTAAGAGGATATAATACGTGTTTATAAGCTAATGTCTGAGTTAAAGTAACTGTAGTTGCTGTAGCAACCATGCCACAAATTATATATATAATGACTCAAATGTTATGTGTTATTTCTTGATGTGAAAATTAAAATGGATGTTTCCAGTAGGTGGGTAACTCCTTCAGAGATGCAGGCTCTTTCTGACTTCTGGCTCCACGTTCTTCATACTCATGTCCATTAAGGAAGAGGGGAGGAGAAAGGGGGTGGACAGTTGTGTGTGGAAGGCTTTTATTGGGCTAGGCCTTAGGAGTGGTGCACACAGCTTTCACTTCTACTTCAGCGGCCATAACTCGATCAGAAACTAACTCTAGAGGCTGCAGGATGCCATCTAGCAGTGTGTCTAAGAAAAAGAGGAAGTTGCTTTGGTTAGTATCTAGTCTTTGCTTCAGCTTAGGAGCTCTAGTAGATGGCGCATGATTTTGCTCAAATGTTGAGGCAAGGGAGTGAATGTACCTAAAGCTTAGCAATCAATCATCTACCTGTTCTTCCTACTTGTGAATTATCTGAGGATGAAAAAAATGGCAAGTTTTAGTGAAAATAAAGCATTTATCATTTGTGCTTTTATATAATCTAATTTTTTAAGGAAGGTTTTATTTATGTGACAGAGAAAGACAGCGAGAGAGGGAACACAGGCAGGGGGAGTGGGAGAGGGAGAAGCAGGCTTCCCGCTGAGCAGAGAGCCCTATGCGGGGCTCGATCCCAGGACCCTGAGATCATGACCTGAGCGGAAGGCAGAGGTTTAATCCACGGAGCCACCCAGGCTCATTTTTAAATAACTTCAAGGTTACTCTGGCTGTTAGCACTTTAAAACTCTTCACTGCATATTCATGTATTCAACAGACATTAACTAAGTGTTGAGATTTTCTTTTGTTCTCTCTCTTTTTTTTTTAAGATTTTATTTATTCATTTGACAGAGATCACAAGTAGGCAGAGAGGCAGGCAGAGAGCGAGGAGGAAGCAGGCTCCCTGCTGAGCAGAGAGCCCTATTCGGGGCTCGATCCCAGGACGCTGGGACCATGACCTGAGCCGAAGGTAGAGCCCCCAACCCACTGAGCCACCCAGGTGCCCCTTCTTTTGTTCTCTTATCATTTGATGTCTTTTCCTTGAAAAGATAGGTTACTATTAAAATGTAATTTTTTTTTTAAGGTTTTACTTATTTATTTGACAGAGAGAGACACAGTGAGAGGGAACACAGGCAGAGGGAGTGGGAGAGGGAGAAGCAGGCCTCCCGCTGAGCAGGAAGCTCCCTGCAGGGTTCAATCACAGCACCCTGGGATCATGACCTGAGCCCAAGGCAAGATGCCCAACGACTGAGCCACCCAGGCACCCCAAAATGTAATTTTCTGTTGCTTGTGTTAGGGGTAGGTTATGAATGACATCTCTTTAACAAAAAAATATAACTCCTATTATATCTGGCTGGCTCAGCTGGTAGAGCCTGTGACTCTTTTTTTTTTTTTTTAAATATTTTATTTATTTATTTGACAGATAGAGATCACAAGTAGGCAGACAGGCAGGCAGAGAGAGGAGGAAGCAGGCTCCCCGCTGAGCAGAGACCCCGATGCGGGGCTCGATCCCAGGACCCTGAGATCATGACCCGAGCCGAAGGCAGAGGCTTAACCCACTGAGCCACCCAGGCGCCCCGAGCCTGTGACTCTTAATCTTAGGGTCGTGTGTTGAAGCATAGAGCCAACTTAAAAAAAATAAATATAATTCATATACTATAAAATCTACCATTTTTAGAGTATACAAATCTGTGGTTTTTAGTGTATTCACAAGGTTGTACAACTATCACAGTGGTCTTAATTAATTCCAAATCGCTTTCACCATTCCAAATAGGAACCCATATCTGTTAACAGTCACTCCTCATTCCCGGCTTCCCCCCAACCCCTGGCAATCACTGATCTGTTTTCTGTTTCTACATATTTGTCTCTTCTGGACATTTCATATAAATGGAATCATCTAGTATGTGGTCTTTTGTAACTGGCTTCTTTCACTTAGCATAAGGTTCTTCCATGTTGTAGTGTGGATTCACAGTGCTTCATTCCTTTTTAATGCTGAATAATATTCCATTATATGGACATTCTACATTTTATGTATCCCTCTTTGCCCCCGCCTTTTTTAATTGCCTATATGTTGCTAGTTTGAGAACCAGGGGGGAAAAAAAACAAAAAACGAACTTTAAGTCAGTTATCTGAAAGCCTATGCAGAGTTGAGCATAATGACAAACCCCTTTGGGAAGATATCCCTTGGATTTCTCATTGGCATCCTGGCTTGTTTAATTCCCAGTTTATAAGTGGGGAAGTGAATTACTTAAATGTTTGAACCATCTTTATAATGCTGTGGTTATCTACTAGTAATAGGTAATATATTTTATTCTTGTTTTGATTTATATAATTAGTTATCAGTGATACATTTGGATATAACAATACAAAATAACAAGTTTTCTGTTTAATTTTAATAGGATACAGAAATAAATCATTTAAGGGCTTCAAGTAAATAGACTGAGGTCAATAGGCTATAATTTATTCTTTTTTTTTTTTTTTTTAGCTGATGTTACTTTTTATTGAGATAGAACAGAATACATGTACTGCATACTGGTGCATTTGGAAAGGAATTAAAGGAGTTACAGTTGCTTAGCTGTTCAAAAAATGTCCCAGAATAATTCTCCATTTGCCCCTTGGGACTAGCACACTGAGGGGGTGTCACTTGGACAAAGCCAACCTTCTAAAGTTTAGGAGCTCTACAAGGGGATGGGGGTGGGAGAAAGGGGGTTGAGTGGCACAGCCTGTCACAGGGTCCTCTATGCCTTCTGGCAGCTGGACTTCACTAAGGAGGTCTTGCCCAGCCAGGGGACAGTGTGTATCTGGAAAGAGCAGAGCGTTTTCATCATCAGGTGTGGCTGGTCATGAAAGGGACAGCTGTCCAAGTTGGGCTGAGACTTTGTACATCTGGTTCGTCCGATCTCCACCTCCAAGAAGTAGTTCATCCCAGCCACGACCTGCTTGCGGACGCGCACCACGCGCATTGCGCGGCTGTGGTACGCGTCGTTGCTCTCCTTGTTGTACTCGCTGAGGGCGAAGTTCAGCGCCTGCTGCACGCCCTCCTCGTTGACGTCGGCGTCCAACAGGCCGCCCACCATTGGAGACTTGCCATTTTTCCTGCTTGCCCCGGGACCCAAGGCCACAGCCAGGGCCTGGGTCAGGGCCAGGGCGGCCAGCAGGAGCAGCGGGGTGCGGAGGTGCCCGGCCATGGTGTGCTCCGAGGCGAGTGAAGCTCAGGAGGCGGTGATCCAGCAGCTGCGAGCCGGCTATAATTTATTCTTAAACTAGCGGGGAGAGGATGATGGAAATGGATAATAGGGTAGAGGAACTGATGATCATTTCTACAGGTTTAAATCTAATTTATGTAGACATTTTAAACATGAGATCATTTGTCTGTGTTTACTTTATTTTATTTTATTTTTTAAAAGATTTTATTTATTTATTTGACAGAGAGAGATCACAAGTAAGCAGAGAGAGAGGGGGAAGTAGGCTCCCCGCCAAGCAGAGAACCCGATGCGGGGCTTGATCCCAGGACCCTGAGATCATGACCCAAGCTGAAGGCAGAGGCCCAACCCACTGAGCCACCCAGGTGCCCCTGTGTTTACTTTAAAATTTGAGGTGGATAGGGGCACCTGGCTGCCTCAGTTGGAAGAGCATGCAGTTCTTGATCTCAGGGTCCTGAGTTCGAGCCTCATGTTGTGTGTAGAGAGAACTTAAATAATTAAAAAAATAAAATAAAATTTGAGGTGGATAGAATGTTTTGGTAACTATGACTAATAAATTATGATGTAACACCCAATATTGATTATTGAAAATAGTCCCTAAGATCATGTGAATGAAAAAATAGAAAATATTTTAAGAAGGTTATTAATATGGGGCGCCTGGGTGGCTCGGTGGGTTAATCCTCTGCCTTCAGCTCGGGTCATGATCCCAGGGTCCTGGGATCCAGCCCTGAGTCGGGCTCTCTGCTTGGCAGGGAGCCTGTTTCCCTTCTCTCTCTGCCGGCCTCTCTGCCTGCTTGTGTTCTCTCTCTGTCAAATAGATAAATAAAATAAAATTTAAAAAAAAAAGAAGGTTATTAATATAAAGGTGCTAGAATTTCCTTTTTAAAAGGAAGTCAATTTATTTTTTTTTTAAGATTTAATTTATTTATTTGTCAGAGAGAGAGAGAGAGAGCAGAGGGAGAAACAGGCTCTCTGCTGAGCAAAGAGCCTGATGTGGGACTCGATTCCAGGACCCTGGGATCATGACCTGAGCCAAAGGCAAATGCGTAACCCACTGAGCCACCCAGGCATCCCAGGAAGTCAATTTCTGATTCAGTGGTTAGGTTTTGCTAACAAGATGCCTGTGTTTATGTGCTACAAATTTTATCTTGGAAAATTAGCAATGGGCATGAGGAAAAAATTTACCTCGTAAATTTTGGAGAGAGTTCTTTTTACCACTCAGATTTTATGAGTAAATGAACTGTACTGTTCTAGGATCACCCCTGGACTTGATCAAATAGTATACACATATAGCCCTTAGTAAGGTAGAAAATATTTCTTCTTCCAAATTGTATTTTATACATTCATGAGATACATTCTCAAGTTAGTGAATTTTATCATACCATAAGGTAATTGTAAGAATTATCTTCTTTAGTGGTATAAAATAATGAAAATGATGTGGAAAAAAACTATTATGTCTTGCTTTTATAAAATAACATTGTGTCCTGGGAAATGCTTTATCAAAGTTATATTACTAGTTGTTTATTAGTTTTCAGATTTTCAGTTTTCCTTTCTGTATTGGTATTTCTTTCTGAATTTCCAGCCTTTAAAATCAGATTTAAAGTAATTGGCATAAGGTTCTTCCATGTTGTAGTGTGGATCCACCGTGCTTCATTCCTTTTTAATGCTGAATAATATTCCATTATATGGACATTCTACATTTTATGTATCCCTCTTTGCCCCCGCCTTTTTTGATTGCCTATATGTTGCTAGTTTGAGAACGGGTGGGGGGGGGAACGAACTTTAAGTCAGTTATCTGAAAGCCTATGCAGAGTTGAGCATAATGACAAACCCCTTTGGGAAGATATCCCTTGGATTTCTCACTGGCATCCTGGCTTGTTTAATTCCCAGTTTATAAGTGGGGAAGTGAATTACTTAAATGTTTGAACCATCTTTATAATTCCTTTTAAGGGACTATTTGGGGCACCTTGGCTGGCCCAGTGGGAAGTGCATGTGACTCTTGGATCTTAGGATTGTGAGTTCGAGCCCCATGTTGGGTGTAAAAATTATTATTATTTTTTTTTTTTTAAAGATTTTATTTATTTATTTGAGAGAGAGACAGTGAGAGAGAGCATGAGCGAGGAGAAGGTCAGAGGGAGAAGCAGACTCCCCATGGAGCTGGGAGCCCGATGCGGGACTCGATCCCGGGATCCCCGGATCATGACCTGAGCCGAAGGCAGTCGTCCAACCAACTGAGCCACCCAGGCGTCCCAGCTGTAAAAATTATTTAAATAAATACAAAAAAAGGGGTATATTTACATTATAGGCATACAGAATGGGAGATGGTGTAACTGTAGAGATTTTGGTCTTAAATAGGTAGAAGACCAGTGGATTTCAGTTTTGTGTTTTTGTGAATGATACCACCTCAGAACATATTCCAGTATTGTTAGGGTTGTTGATGTATTTGTGAAATTTTAAAGACTGTCATTTATTCTTAAGTGGTTGGAGGTTTTATTGGGGTCTTGAAAAGCAAAGTTATAGATGAGAAATAAAATTAGAATATAGTAATGATGCACCAGACTAACAAAAAATATAGGCTGCAATAAATTGCAGACCATTAGTATTGTCAGTTTACATTCTGAGATGAATGTGTTCTACTTTTAGTCTGGATCTTTTGCTGAAAAAATAAAACTGGTAGTGTTAAATAGTGTAACAGGTAAAATATATATTTATATAAAAAGCTAAGACAGGTTTAACCATACTTGTCATTTATTTTGTATTGAGAATATAGTGGAAAGGGGTGCCCAGGTGGCTGAGTTGGTTAAGCAGCTGCCTTTGGCTCAGATCATGATCCCAGCATCCTAAGATCAAGCCCCGTGGTGGGCTCCCTATTCAATGGGGAGTCTGCTTCTCCCTCTCCATCTTACCCTGCACTCATGCTTGCACTTTCTCAAATAATAAATTTAATTTAATTTTAATTTAATTTCTCAAATAAAATTTTTTTTAGAAAGAGAAGAAAGCGTAGTGGAAAGATGGAAATCATCTGTCAGAATACAAGTCTATAATATGCAGCAGAACTCATTGGAACTCTCTTACAGTACCGCTTTATGTGGATTAAGAAAATTAACTTGTGCTTAGAAGAGATGTTGAGCATTTAGGCTTATAATTTAAGATCATTGCTCTTAGGAAAATAATAGATAGGAATAAACTGTGGCATATCTATATGATGTAATTTTATTTGCTGCTAAGAAGAAATGAGCTATCAAGCCATGAAAAGACATAGAGGAACCCCAAATGCATATTACAAAGTGGAAGAAGCCAATGTGTAAAGGCTACATACCATGTGATTCCAGTTCGTGGTTATTCTGGAAAAGGCAAAACTATGGAGACAGTGAAAAGATCACTGTTTGCCAAGGTTAAGGAAAAGGGATGAGTAAGTGGAGCACAGGATTTTTAAGGCAGTAAAGCTGTTCTGTATGAAGACTATAATGGTGGATGTGTGTCATTATATATTTGTCCATTTATAGAATATTTAATACCAAGAGTGAATCCTAATGTACTCTGTAGACTTTGGGTGGTACTGAGGTCAGTGTAGGCTCATTGATTGTAACGAATGTACTACTCTTCTGCAGGATATAGATAGTGGAGGAGGTTGTGGGTGTGTGGGGAGGAAAGGGTATATTAGCACAATGTACTTTTTGTTCAATTTTGTTGTGAACCTAAAACTGCTATAAAAAAAATAAAGTTGCTTAATAAAAATAACAAACAGGGTAAGGGGCAGGTCATTTGTAACCATATGTAGTTTGCATGTTCTAAATGACCTTTTCTGTGTGATGTATGCTAAGAAAAATAGAAATACAGATTGTTTCTATGAAATTAGTAAATTTATTTGTCAGAGGGCTCACAGGCAAGGGGAGCGGCAGGCAGAGGGAGAAGCAGGCTCCCACTGAGCAAGGAGCCCGATGTGGGACTGGATCCCAGGACCCAGGGATCATGATGTGAGCTGAAGGCAGATGCTTAACTGACTGCCACCCAGGCATCCCTCAGATGTTATTTTTGAGGCAAAAAAAAAAAAAAAAAAAGTCAAATGGAAATAAATTAAGCAGAAACTCTAATGGGTTTAGAAAGCTGTGGGTAGAGGCTTAAGGAATTATAGCTAGGAATAATCCTGGATGTTTAAGAGGACCAAAATAATTAATAGAACTTTTAAGGAATTTTATAGATGAAGCTAAGCCAGTTTGAACACAAGTCATGTTCATTTAGGTAAATATAGGAAATCTCTGGTAATTGTGATATATATTAGGGTCTTATATCTCCTTTCCCACAATCCTTGCTGTTAAGTAGTATATAGCAGCAAAGCCATTCAAACCAACACTGATAAGCAAATTGCCATAAAATCAGTGAGGTCCTGCTAGCTACAAGCCCAATTCTGTCCAAGTCACTTGATAAACAAAACTTTAAGCTTTTTCCCCAAGAGGATGAATAACGATCCTTAGCTTCCGGTATTACTCTGCTAGGGTTCCCATGACAAAATATCATAGAAATATTTTCACACTCTTGTGAAGGCCAGAAGTCCAAGATCTCCTTGGCTTGCCGATAGCTGCCTTTTCTCTCTCTCTCTCTCTCTCTCTCTGTCTCTCTCCCCCCTCCCTCCCTCCCTCTCCTCATATGGTCTTTTCTCTGTGCATATGTGGGGAGAAAAAGCTTTTATAAGGACACCTGTCCTGGGGCGCCTGGGTGGCTCAGTGGGTTAAAGCCTCTGCCTTAGGCTTAGGTCATGATCCCAGGGTCCTGGGATCAGCCCCACATCAGGCTCTCTGCTCAGCAGGGAGCCTGCTTCCACCTCTCTCTCTGCCTGCCTCTCTGCCTACTTGTGATCTCTGTCAAATAAATAAATATAATCTTAGAATTTCTTAAAAAAAAAAAAAAAGGACAACAGTCCTGTTGGATTAGGACTCCACCTTTATGACCTTTGTTTTTTATTTTCATATATAGAAATATATATTCAAGGGATGCCTGGGTGACTCAGTCAGTTAAGCCACTGCCTTCGGCTCAGG